CTAAATAGCATAAATAACAATGCTTTAATATGTTATTATTTGAAACTGATAAAATTTTTAATCGACTTAAACACATTTGTTTTTTTTTTCAAAGATTTTGGATTAATATACATTAAGGAATCAGGTAAATTTGGCAAACTATTTATTTGTGTATTATAACATAAGAGGGTTTCTAAAGAGTTTGGTAAAGTTGGTAGGCTGGTTATTTGAGTGTAATTTTCTAAATCTTTGTAATCCTTCTAAAGTGTATAATATATCCTCATTATCATATGTAATTCTTAAACTATCAATAGTATCATCGTATATAATGACGTTTGTTTCAGTATTCAATTCTATTGCTTCTACTACATTCAACTGATTCAAATTAAAATTTTGATTATCTGTTTCATTATTTGATTTTAATACATCAACTATATTCAACTGATTCAAATCAAAATTTTGAATTACTAAAGATAATTCCCCATGTAATGAACGAGAAGGTTTTTCTGATAATTGAATATTTGATTCATCATTTATTTGTTCATTTTCTAATATATTAGTTTTTGTAAGAATTGCATTTAGTGCATCAATTATTTTGTTCATAGCCGGACGCTTTTCTGGCTCGCCATCCCAGCACTCTACATCATATAATAAATTCATTTAAATAATCAAGAACATTATATATTTAAACTTAAATTATATAATATATTTACCTGTATAAATGTTTACATAATATTCAGGAGTACCAGGAATGACACTTTCTATGAGTCCTTGTAAAATGTTTATAGCTAAACTAACGCCATATTCTTCATCTTTAACATAAAAAGGATTGATATCTCCCATAACAGCACGCCAACGCTGTAAACGTCACTTATTTCATTTAACGTATATATGGTTGAAATGTATGTTCATTTTTCCTCTGCCTATCAAATCTTTTTGGGTCAACATAAGGAAGTACTCCAAATACTTCTGAATGTTTTTTAGTTGCTTCTTCAATTCTTTTAGACAATCCAAAATCCGCTAGTTTAATAGCATGTTGATAAATTAATATGTTATTAGAATGCTAATATATATATATAAAAAAATTTAATAAAAGTATTGAAAATTAGATGTATAAAATGTAAGATTACCAACCAAATCACGATGCACAATTTCTTCTTCATGTAAATATGATACTGCGCTAGCCAACTGGTATGCAAATTTATGTTTCAACAAAAGTCCTTGATGAAATTTTATATAAAATGTGGTGTTTGATTTTTCTTTACATAAAAGATAAAGTTACTTAGAATTCTAAAAGTTTCTAACCATTCTAAAGTCTTTTGATTTTATACTATTAATAAAAATTACGATATAGCGTCAAAATTTTATAATTCTGTTTAGCGAAACGAAATTTATTACTAAATCTCAAATAGTATACATGGAAATTTTTGAAAATTGATTATAAACTTTCTTAAAACAATAGTTTTGCAACTGTACGAACCCACATGTAATATTGCAGGAAACTTTCTTAGTTTGTAATAAATAGAATTAATTATAGCCTTTGGCTTTTCATATTATGATGAAATTTTTAAAAGAATTGAATCAATAAAAAAAAAGAAAAGATAATAATAATTAAAATTATGTGATGTGCGTCATTAGCTCGAATAAACTCGTGAATTAAATAAAGTAAATGTGTCGATTAATAACATTAGCCAAGATTTATTCAGCGCATAATACTTATTTGTCATTGTAGTTATTAAAAAAAAAGCTTCCCTTCCCTTGATCACGAGTCGAGTTTCGAGTTATTTTATATTTAAAATATAAAAAATATTTACGATTAAAGCACTTTTCATAACGTCATTTGAAAAAATGATTCTATCACCATTTTGTAATTGATGTTTTATCGTGCTACAAATGCAATTTAAATACTTAAGGAAACTAATTATTTATTTTGTATAAAAAAAAATAGGAAGTCAATTCTTTTTTTATTAATCCTTTATTACATATTAAACCTAAAAATCTTATTTGAACGTTTGATTGGATAGTTCAATGTTTGATGTTCTATTTTTGTTATTCGGATTGAATCTCTTGCTTAAAACAATAAGAAATTCGATAATTGCTTAATGAACCAATAAACATTCCCCGCCGTAGAGTGGCGCCTCATAGTACATCTCGCATCGAATAATATTATTATCATCTAATTCTATTTGAATTTGAAAGTGAGAAGTATTATCCGAAGAATTAATTCGATCATTTACGTAGAACTGTGATTTTATGAATATATTACATTAAAAACTCGATTTAATATAAATTAACCTATCTCAACCCTTTGTTTCTTTACTCCTTAAGTTTGCAAAAATTTAGTCATTTAAAATTTTTTCCTATAAACTAGTCTTTAATCATGGATGTACTTTTTTTTTGACCCAGACACGACCGATTTATTTGAAAGTTACACAAGAAGACAGGAAGGAGGCACACAAAAGAGGAGACAGAACATGTTCATTGTTTACCGAACTGAAATAAATGATGAAACATAAACCTGAAAAGATGACGATGTCTGAATTCAGCAAAGAAGTTAACCAATACTATACTTATAAGCAAGTGATTTTTTTTCTTGCTCGAATTATGATTTGCAATTTTATTCAGAAATTATATTTAAATTCAATTTATGTTCTGTTATAAATTGTAAATTACAAGTTTTTACTATTTTTCGTTGGAATCAAATTTACTTTAAAGCATAATTACGTATGATTACAATCACATTATGATCTTTAAAATCAATTTGAAAGCAATTCTTCAAAGTACGTCTAAAATCAGTCTATAATAATGTTCATAAATTAAAACTTTCGTCCTAATTACTGAGAAAAAAATCGAGATTATTTATCTATCCATAAAATCTTTTACCTCTATGGGTTCATTATCATCTTTTCGATGACCTTCAGTAATTTAATTTCACAGTAACTTTATCAAAAAATTGCATGGGTATACTTTTAAACGCAGGATTTGTAATAAAACTAGAATATAAAGGAAAAATGCAATAATCAATTGATACACACCGATGACGTTTCCAAACCTACATATCAATAAGGCATTCGAATGTCAGTCAAAGAACGTATAATATTTAGAGATATTTCAAATGTAGTTACATCTCCGTTGGAAAATACTACGTTTGTGCAGAAGTAACTAGCCATTGTTAAAGATACAAATCTAATTCAAATTATAATGTTAAAACAAAATAAGGAATTAACTAAAAAAAAAAAAAATAAAAAAAAATAAAATCCTAACCTGGTTTCGCAAATAAATATTTTATAAGTTCCAAATCGGGTAACGACGACATACCATTCTCCATGGAACCAAAACTATAATTTATTTATTTACTTTCGTTTTTAGTAAATTTTCTTTTAAAATCAATAAATCTTATAAGAATGATATGATATGACTTGTTACTTTTCCAATTCCATGTTTCTCAAGAACTTGTCGTGAATCTTCCCAACGTTTGTCAGGGCCATCATTAAATAGTTAGTCCTTCGGTACTCTAATTTTTTAATAAATTTTGTAAACGATAAAGTATTAAAAACCAAAATGGTTACAAAAAGCATTTTATTGAAAAATTTATTTGTTTCCAATATGAAAAAAAAGTGTTGGTATATATTAAGAAAAGAACTCGGTTAAATTATGAACTACTCCTACCTCATAAAATGTTTACCAATGACTTTATTGCTTCATTTTTCTTCCGTTCAACCTTTAATAAAATATGGATTCTCATTTAAAATTCTTTTTTTCAAATTTGAGTTACAGCATATTTGCTTTCAATTTTGATGATAAAACTTAGACGTTTATTTATCACGCGTTGCATATAAATATCGTTATCAGGACGCGGCAATTTTTTTTTGTTAGAAAATAATATACCGTTTTCCTATTATTCATATTATTCCATATACCGACAATAATATTTCAACAATATTTCAAAAAAAAAATATTGATTTCTTACGCCCTTTTTTATCAATCACTTTTTTATTGTTTTTATAAAACATGGCTCGACAATTTATATAATTTTAAGAATTTTTTTTCATGATTGTTTGCCAATTAGAAAATATATTCATACAATTACCTGACATACTGTGCCAAATATGGTCCTAGTGAATACTTCTTTGATAATAAGAATTTAAAAGAAATTTTCGGTAAAAAGGTAAGAAATTCCATTCAAAAAGCAAGAATTGGTTTAATTATTCTCATCATTATTATTAACATTAATTTAATTACTCTCGTATTAATAATTAACCGACGAACAGCAAAAAAAAGCCACGGAAGATGGTTATGAAGAATTGTTTGATTTGAATACATAATAATGGAAAAAAAATCAAACAACTAATGCCAATAACAAAAAAATATTTTTTTTAAAAAAAAAAAAAAAAAAAGGTCGTTTTTACATGTTGAGAATATTATGTATCTTAAAATACTGCATTTAAGCCTAATGATGAGCTGTCGCATTTATGTTTATATTTCCCACCCACATAATAAATTTTCTAAATAAATCTGGGAAGATATTTGTATAATTTGTATAAATACGAGACTTTATTTTACATGCTAATGTCCCATACATAAAAATTTTCAATAAAAAAAGATATTAATTTTATTTAAAAGTTTGTCTCTTAGAATAATGAGCTGTAATCATATTTTATCCTTCCATTTTCTTGAACCTGAAACATCATATCCATCAGAAAAGAAGGAATCAAAAAATAAAGAGCCAAACATGTTCATTTCATTTCGTAAAGAAATGATGAAATAAAAACCATATAATAATATGTCAATGACCAAATACAGCAAGTTCTTGTCAGAAAAATGGAAAAATTTTTCTGAAGAAGCGAAGGTTGAACTACAAAGGCAATATCAAATAAAACGAGATCAAAAATTACGACGAGACGAGATTGCCGATCAATGCATCGCAAATCATGAAAGAAGGAACAAGTATAAAAGACGATTACAAAAAAATGTAACCGAACAAATTGAAATTTCTTTAAATAATCACGTGTTAAGTAATCAATCTGAAACCAATCAATTGCAGCGTGCCTGGCTTGATTCGAGATTGTATTTTCACCGAAAATTCTTCTGAATTTATAAATGATGATATCTTCAAAACAGTTTAGTTCCGAAAACTCACAAACAATAATAACCACTTCATTAAAGACTTTCTTAAATCTTAAGACGGTTAATAATTATTGTAAAAATTCCTTATATAATTAACAGTTTAATATTTGTAATATAGTCAACTATCTGAAATTTTTATGTATTAACCAATTAAGACATTTTTAAATCGAGTCATATTTTTAGTCCCAACAAATAATTTTTGATAAATTTTAATTACTACTGATTTGATTTAAGCTAATAACAATAACAAGACCTAGATTTCGTCATAATTCGTAACCTACATTTTTTCAAAAATAAATAAATTATAATAATAGTTCAAAGTTTCAAATTTTCAAATTTCAAGTAACAATTGTAGGGTATGGTTACATAAACATATTAACTATAAAGAAATTACGTGATTAATTAGAAACGATAATATATATATATATCAAAAAAAATACAACAATGTCTTTTGAAGGTCCAAGAATTCCAGGAGAGAGAGAGAGAGAGAGAGGAGAGAGAGAGTTTGAGTCTTTGAACATAATTTTCAGCTGTTGCACTGCAACGTCTGAGATAAAAGAATTTCGTTTAAGTTAAAATAGCCAATCTTTATTCCTACCATTTGGCCAGAATTAAGATTTTAGGATTGATTTAGTAATCGAAATATTACCACATATGAAAATCGAACATAACATAAAGTAATTCGCAATAACTAGAGTTTAATAATCTGAGCAGGAGTGGACCGTACACGATTCCGTCGATATCTCCATCAAATTCTTTCGGTGTGTCTGAAAGGTATTCGATCTTGAGTTTCCTTGATTGCATTCTTGGTATTTTTCCAAAAAAATTGCAAAGACCTGTTGAGAAAGCATACAGTCCTCAAGGATTGACTCCATTTATAATTAGTTTTGTTCTAGTGAGATTATCATTTTTTGGTCGTTAAAAATCATAACAAAAAGATTAATCTAAGAAAGATTTTAACTTTTGAATTATTGCTGATTTGAAATATAGTAAGTCATTTATGGGAGCGTTATTTATATTTCTGAATATCTCAGACATAATTTTTTTAGAGTATATTGGTGAGTGTTGGGAAAAGGGACTTGGAAATAATTTTTTGAAATAATTTTCAATTTGGTCCGTCTTACCCTCGCCTCATATATATAATAAATGATTGTCGTGCGCAAAAAATTTTTCTTATTATTTCATTCCTATGTGCAACAATAAATATTCTTTTATATTCTTTCCCTGCAAACAAAAAGCCCGTGCTATATTACTAAGCGTTAATTTTGACAAAACACACGTCAATATTTAATAAATACTATCATATTTTTATTTCTTAGTTCGTCTCATTAACGTTAATATAGGATATAGTATAGTTAAATTTTATTATTTAAAAAGATAATATATTTTATTAATAATTTAATATATAAAAAAGTATTCGACCTAATAATGTTATTTATAAAATTTATATACAAATATATCTTAAATCTATGGGAGTTTTGCTATTAATATCGAGTGAGACAAAGTCCATTTTATAAACAAGTCTGAAAAGTTAATAAAATTTTGTGAGACGCAGTTATTCCTATAGATTAATGAATGTAATTGTGGTAAAATATACCAATATTTTGTCTTAGCTTTCGTTGTGTACATTATTTACCAAAAATAATTATCTATACAGGTATTCCTGACATTAATTATAGAAGGTTACTAATAGAATTTGTAGGAAAGTTATTGAAGTATTGAATCTTTAAAGATTCTGGTATGATATTTGTTAAGGAATCAGGTAAATTTGGCAAACTATTTATTTGTATACCATAACACCAGAGGGTTTCTAGAGAGTTAGGTAAAGTTGGTAGGCTGGTTATTTGAGTATAATAGCAATAGAGACCCGTTAAATAGTTTGGTAAAGTTGGTAGGTTGGTTATTGGAGTATATCCGCAATAGAGTTCCATTAATGAGTTGGGTAAAGCTGGTAGGCTTGTTATTTGAGTATTACTACAAACGAGTTTCGTTAAAGAGTCAGGTAAAGTTGGAAGGCTGGTTATTTGAGTATTACTACAATTGAGTATTATTAAGGAGTTTGGTAAAGTTGGAAGGCTGGTTATTTGAGTATCTCCGCAATAGAATTCCGTTAAGGTGTTGGGTAAAGTTGGTAGGCTGGTTATTTGAATATCACTACAATTGAGTATTTTTAAGGAGTTTGGTAAAGTTGGTAGGCTGGTTATTTTAGTATTACGACAACTGAGAATTGTTAAAGAGTTAGGTAAAGTTGGTAGGCTGGTCATTTGAGTTTCAAAGCAATAAAGTTTCATTAAGGAATCAGGTAAAGTTGGAAGGCTGGTTATTTGAGTATTACTACAAACGAATTTCGTTAAAGAGTCAGGTAAAGTTTGTAGGCTGGTTATTTGAGTATTACTACAATTAAGTATAATTAAGGATTTGGGTAAAGTTGGTAGACTGGTTATTTTAGTATTACGACAACTGAGTATTGTTAAGGAGTTAGGTAAAATTGGAAGGCTGGTCATTTGAGTTTCAAAGCAATAAAGTTTAATTAATGAGTTTGGTAAAGTTGGTAGGCTGGTTATTTGAGTATTACTACAGTCAAGTACTTGTAATTTTCTAAATCTTTGTAATCCTCCTAAGGTGTATAATATATCCTTATTAAGTTCTGTAATCGTTAAACTATCAATAATATCATCGTAAATAATGACGTTTGTTTCAGTATTCGATTCTAATTCATTCACATTCTCTTGATTAAAATTAAAATTTTGAGATAATTCCCCATCTGTTTCATTATTCGATTCTAACCCTTCTACTATATTCATCTGATCAAAATTTTGAATCAATTGAGATAATTCCCCATGTAATGAATGCGAAGGTTTTTCAGACAATTGAATATTTGATTCTTCATTTATTTGTTCATTTTCAAATATATTAATTTTTGTAAGAGTTGCATTTAATGAATCAACTATTTTGTTTATTGCTGGACGATTTTCTGGCTCACCGTCCCAGCATTCTAAAATAATGTAATAATTCGAATTAATGATCATTATTTAATTAAATTTAAATTATATAATATATTTACCTGTATAAATGTTTACATAAAATTCAGGAGTACCAGGAATGACACTTTCTCTGAGTCCTTGTATAATGTCCATAGCTAAAGTAAAGTCATATTCTTCA